AAGAATGATACGGTGGCTGCAGAATCGTTCGCTTCTAGCGAATCCTCTTCACTGCGGCGCTTGTCACGAGGACATGGTTATGGTTGGGAGAACCGATGGCCACATCGACGGTTATCAATGGTTAGTTGCTGCAATAAGTATATTATATGTGTACCATATATTTCATTCACGATTTCTCTTTTGGAAGGTCATATTTGGAGCTTTAGTTACGCTATAAAGGAAGGCCGATAAGTGTTACCTTCAAAGTTCGCCTTATTACACTGCTCGGAGTTCAGAAAAACGCTTAATTTTACCTTATGTATGTTTTTGAGAGTTGATTTAGTACAAATGGTCGAAGATTACTTCAAATTCTGCATTACTGGGGCAAAATTTAAACTGATGGAGTAGCATAAAAAATATCACAAGAATTACAAATGGGGTTGGACTGCCTAGGAGTTAAATTTTCACTAAAAGTTGATAACATCCCTCGCTTTGGAGGAGGCGCGAGACACGCGAGTTCGTGTGAACTTTGAAAAAATTAACTTACGCAAATATTTCCCTTTCTGCGTCCTCTAAAGGCTTTCGTGCGCGCTTAAGTCCGCTTCTGAATCGTTTCAGAAAAAAAATACTGTTTCAGTACAGGCTCGTAAGAAAAGGCAAAACGAAGGTTTTAAATTATAAAAGTAATTTATAATTTACACTTCGGTTATCTATTCTTTTTTTAACTTAAGGAGATGCAGGACATGCAAGAAAAAGCGAAGTTTAAGGGCCAATAGCTTTTTCGCTGAATTCCCCAAAATTCCTCTGGGGGAAATGATGATGACATTCTATTTTTGGTCCATCGATGAATCACGAACACGAACATCGAGAATGATGACCATGAACAGAAATCTGGTATGCACTATATTCAGACGTTTGGAGGGTGTGTGTTCCCAGGACATCACCGACAACCCGTTCATCCCCTTTGGCGGCCCAGCATCGGTGAAGTGCGATGAAAGCAAATTCAATCATAAGGCGAAGGTTAGTATTACACAATGATAATAATAATAGTAATAATAATAATAGCAATAGTAACAATAACAATGATAGCTACGACAACAACAACAAACAAGCTCATTTCAATAAAAAAAAGAAAAATGCTGTGGATTTGAAGCCGCCTGATATTAAGCACCCAGACTTTAGCAGTGCTAATTATTGCCATATTCTGTAGTACAACAGAGGAAGACGTGCTCCAGACGTGTGGGTATTCGGAGTCATCTCAACAGCTACGAGACCTGCTAGGGGATTTTATGAAGTGGTTGCCAGAAGGGATCGCAACACTCTTTTACCGATTCTCGAGAAGTGTCTCCTTCCTGGGAGTGAGGTTATCACGGACGACTGGGGCGCCTATGAAAACCTTGAGCAGCATCTTCCCAATCACGTAGCCCGGCATCGAGTCGTTGTCCACGCCGACAATTTTGTTGATCCAGCGACAGGGGTACACACCCAGGAAGCAGAATCGGCGTGGGCAAATTTGAAGGCTCCTATTAAAGCACGACGTGGCATTTCACGTGATGACGTTCAGACGTATCTCGATGATAGGATGTGGAGGCAATGGCGAGGTCTAGACAATATCATTGGTAATTTTTTGCCTGTCTTAGCCTCGCAATATAGGGACTACGTAATTTAAGTTTGTAAATTGAATTGTGAGGCCACGAAATAAATAAATAATAATTACCAATCTCAAAACTCTTTGGAGATTGTTGTGATAGCAGGCTAGCCCCTGAATCGTGAGTGTGTTTCTTAATTTTTAATTTTCTCATTTTTTGTTTTACGCCTGTCGCGACCCTACAAAAACGATTTTTAAATTTTTTTTTTTTTTAAAACTGAACCAGTGGGCAGCACTCTGCGAACAGTAGTTATAAAGCTTCTCTAATCTCCGACGCGTTTCTTCAGGTCCTCGGCCGTTACATCAAACCTTCTCCTACCACGACTCAGACCACTGAACAGGTCTTCAAAGTCCTCTAGATCCATGGGAACTCTGATGGTGGTGCGTCGAATGTATCCCTTTCATTTTTTGCGGTTCGAACGGAGAGCTTCTGTCCAATCTCACCGACGAGATAATCGATCATTTTTTCTTTTCCTGAAAAAAGACCAAGAGAAACGTTTAGTCTCGAACAAACTAGCCTTCAAGCAAAGTAAATTCGTTCCTGTTGTAAAACGCATAGTTCTTTTTGTTGCAATCGTCTTCCTGCACCCAAGTAACCCTTCCATTTTTTTTTCAATGGAACGCACAGATTTTTGCGACCGAGATCTGACAAAGCTCATTTAATGATCACTGAAAAATAGCTGTCGAACATAAAATTATCATACGGCAACAATAGTAACGTTAATTATGCGATGTTCCATTGTCGACAAAAAGGAAGGCAGAGCAGTTTAAAACTATCACCTCTTTGTTAAATGCCGCGCATGCCGCCAGAGTTTTCACTGGAAGACTAAAGTAGAACGACAACCCGCAAATATCACTGATTTTTTAGTCCAGCGATTTAACTCGGCGTTATTCTTAATTCCTAAGAAGTATTTTCCCAAACGCCAATTCTTTCTTCTATTTTGTTATACGTTACGACTAAAACTAGATAGTTTTAAAACTATCACCTCTTTGTTAAAAGCCGCGCGCGCCGCCAGTGTTTTCACTGCAAGACTAAATTAGAACATTAACCTTTAAAGATCATTTTAAATCCAATCACTTAAGTTGAGCGTTTTTTAATTCCTAAGTGGTATTTTCCCCAACACAAAATTTTCTTCTCTTTTCTTTACGTTACGAGAGTGAAAGCGTGATAGTATGAAGACTAGCGCTTAATTCAGCGCTTCTTTGATAAGAGAAGCAAAACTCTTGACCCAAGTGAAACCATTGATAAAAGCTTCATCGTTTTGCGGCGTTGTGCTGCGCGCTATTATCAACTGATCCAAAGTACGGTATAAAGAATTCAGCATTTCCAGGTATCTTGTTTGGGGTTAATAACAATAGTGAATTGTTGCTTTTTTTCCTCTCGTCCTCTTGCCGAGTATAGTTCGTGAATGTTGTTAACAACAAAGCATCCTTATTGTGTTAATAAATTTATAATCAACTGGTTCGCTGATAAAAAAAATATACTGAGAGACCAAGCATAGTGAAGGGCATTTTCTCCCTTGGGTAGCCCTGTGTGAACAGCACGCTTATGAGCAACTTTTCCAACCCCTCTCCCCAAGTGCCGCTAATTTGACACGCCGACAATTTTGCGACGATTTGAAATTTGTATTTCTAAGCCATAGTTAGCGGCTATACGGGGACCAGTGACCTTAAATGCTTGGCCGGACATACGATCAGGAACAGGCGAAGTTGTGAAAAAAATTGAAAATTTTTGGGCAAGGTGAGAAAATATTTTGGGAGCCACGGTTTTAGCAAAAATGATGGCAAAGCAAGCCCAAAACGGCAGAAATCTCAAAAAACCACCGCAGACACGCAAGGGGTGGGTAAGTTTTATCATTCTTACGTGTAAAATGTTTATATTTCGGAATACCGGCTTAGTGTTGTAAATCGACCATATTTCGTGCCCCATTCCTTATAACGCATTCAAATTCTCAACGGTTCCTCGCGAAACGTAACACCGGGTCACACAACGCGTGACGCTTTCGTGAAATAATCTTTCGCTTTTCCTCGAGACGTAAGCTTAGGACGCCTGCGCACCAACTGTCTTCCTTTTCCAAACCACTTCGGTTTTTAATTCGTTTGTGCAATCGAAATGTAAGTAATAAAAAAATACTCTGTGAACAGACTCGAACCCCTAACTGGTTTCTTCGCTCATAACCTTTGCTATATACAATAGTGATGTGATAGCGGAAATAGCGTTTTAGTATAATATTCCACTGGCCCCCCTCCAACAATGAAGTTGATTGGTATCGGCTTTCTTATTCAGTGTGATTACCGATTGTAATACAACAATGACTGGTCGATATTTCCACCACCAACCGTCTTCCTTTTCCAAACCACTGCGATTTTTACTTCGTTTGCGCAATCGAAAAGTAAGGAATAAAAAGCTATGTGAATAGACTGTAGTGTTTCTGACAGCTGCCAATCATAATGTTCGGAATGCACACGCGGTCCTTATGAAGAGAAGCTATTCTGTAGTCGGGTTTCGTCTCACAGGTTGATTAAATATCGTTGTGTTTCTACCGAACATCTCAGTGGTTATTAAACCGTAAACACCACATCTGGCGACGAGGATTATTCATAGAACACACACACAACAAAACCAAAAGGATTTAACGGGATTTCCGAAGTGATTTTCACAGAAAAATCCAAAGCGATCTCCGAAGCATTTTCCCGCGTAAACATCATGGCCATTTCTCTACCAAACTTTCCACCGTTTGAAGTTCACCTCGATGGAAATGCAGGCCCAAGATGGAAGAAATGGTTAGGAAGATTCGAGAGATTAACTATTGGAATGGGAATCTCCGATGATACGCAGAAGAGAGCCCTTTTGCTGCATTACGGCGGTCCAGAAGTCGACGAGATCTTCGACACGCTTCAGGACGTCGGTGGAGACAAAGATTACAAAAAGGCCGTCGAGAAACTAACTGCTCACTTCTCTCCGCAAGTCAACGTAACGTACGAAGTGTACAATTTCCGGCAAGCCAAGCAAAAAGACGGAGAAAACCTTGACTGTTTTCACACACGCTTGAGAAGCCTAGCGAAGACCTGCGATTTCACAAATCCAGACAAAGAAATCAAAGAACAGATTATCTTGAACTGTAAATCGAATTCCCTGCGGCGCAAAGCTCTGCGAGAAGACCTCGACTTAGCCGGCCTCATGAAAGCTGGTAGAGCCTTAGAATTAAGCGAAATACAAGCAAAGGAGTTAGAAAATCACGAACAAACCGTAAACGCGGTAAAGTTTAAGAAGAGAGGAATCTCGACATATCTCAAAGGGAAACAGCGCCATCAACAACCTCGCCAGGAGTCACGCACTCGCTACGAGTCACGCAATCACAGCAACTCCCGAAAAGAGAATATTAAATGTAGGAACTGTGGCGGACCATACCCTCACAAAGACTCCTGCCCCGCGAGGAACAAGAAGTGCACCTCCTGTGGCAAACTAAACCATTTTGCTCGTGTTTGTAGAACAAATCCACCTGAGTCAGCAAAACACGTCTCACATGAAGACACGGCCGAAAATGACGAATACGTATACACTATAGGCGGTGACAAGCAACCAACTTGCCACGTCAGGATCGATGGAAAGCAAATCGAAATGATGGTCGACTCCGGTGCATCGGTCGATCTCATAGACGAACGCACCTTCAGGGAGTTATACCAACGGACGGTACCAGAAGCCTCCAAGCGCAGAATTTTCTCCTACGGATCATCCACACCCCTACCTGTTCTGGGAACCATCGAAGCCGAAATATTCGTCAACGCCAGCAGCACATGGACAACCTTGCACGTCATCAAAGGTGCTTCAGGAAACCTCCTGGGTTTTAACACTGCTACGAAACTTGGTGTGCTCAAGATCATCAATCAAGTCAAACCTGACGAGACCAGTCCCCAGTCCCCCACTAACGGAGATTTGGAGAGCCTGTTCGGTGGAATCGACAAAGTGCGAGGGAAAGTCATCAAGCTTCACATAGACACTAACGTTGCACCCAAACAACAACCACACCGTCGGATACCCTTCCATGTCAGAAAGGATGTCGAAATGGAGTTAAAGCGATTAGAAGAGCTAGACATCATCGAGACTGTAACGGGCCCAACACCCTGGGTGAGCCCTATTGTCATAGTCCCCAAGAGCTCTGGTGAAGTGAGAATATGTGTGGACATGCGAGAGGCCAACAAGGCTGTTAAACGAGAAAAACACTTGATGCCGACCATAGACGATCTGGTTGCTGACCTCAACGGAGCGACAGTCTTCAGCAAGTTAGACCTTTCGTCTGGATACCACCAACTGGAGCTGGCCCCAGAGAGCCGCTACATTACCACATTCAGCACACACGTCGGACTCCGAAGATACAAGCGCCTCATGTTTGGAATTAACGCAGCATCCGAGATCTTTCAGAACGCAATCGAAGAAATACTCACAGGCCTCCCTGGATGCAAGAATATGTCCGACGACATTATCGTTTATGGAAAAACTCAGAAGAAACACGATGAGAACCTCCGTGGTGTACTGGAACGGCTGAAACAACATGGCGTACGCCTGAACAAGGAGAAATGTTCCTTTTCAAGGAGTGAGATTAAGTTCTACGGACAGATTTTCAGCAAGAATGGAGTCAAGGCAGACCCTGCCAAGATCAAAGCGATCACTGACAAGAACAAGCCAGAAAGCATCGGCGAGGTGAAGTCTCTGCTGGGAATGGCTCAATATGTGTCTCGTTACATTCCAAACTACGCTACGATAACTGCTCCCCTACGACTGTTAACCAAGAAGGACAAGTCATGGCAGTGGGCCGACGAACAGCAACGTGCATTCGACAAGCTGAAAGACAGCCTGATCAAGAATCACGTGATGTCGTACTTCAATCCAAGACTCAAGAGTGAAGTGATAGTCGACGCGAGCCCTGTCGGACTTGGAGGATTGTTGGTACAGGATGGTAAAGTTATCAGTTACGCTAGCCGAGCACTCAGTGACGTCGAGAGCAGATACTCTCAAACGGAGAGGGAGATGCTAGGAGTAGTCTGGGCAGTCGAACATTTTCATCTTTATTTGTATGGATCAGAGTTCACCATTGCCACAGACCACAAACCACTCCTAGGTATCTTTAACAGTCACAAGCCAACGTCAGCGCGCATCGACAGATGGAAGCTGAGGCTCATGCCTTACAACTGCCAACTCACCTATCGACCTGGCAAGGACGCAGAGAATCCAGCCGATTTTATGAGCCGCCATCCAAGTAACATAGAAAGCAAGGAGAGCAGCATTGCAGAAGACTACGTGAACTATGTATGCAACCAGGCAGTGCCAAAAGCAATGACGCTGCAAGAAATCAAGTTAGAGTCGGAGAAGGACGTTTCGCTCCAAGCACTTATCAAGGCCATCGAGACTGACAATTGGACACATCCCGAAGTACAGGAGTACAGAAATGTGAAGGACGAACTGTCGGCCTACCAAGGAATTGTACTGAGAGGAAACAGGATTGTAGTCCCGAAAGTACTGAGAGGCAGAGCTGTAGACCTAGCACACGTTGGACACCAAGGAATGGTAAAAACAAAACGCCTCATCAGAGAGAAAGTGTGGTTTCCTGGTGTAGACAAGATGGTTAAGGAAAAAGTCGACAGCTGTTTACCATGCCAAGCAACAACTACTAGTAAGGCAGAACGACTCGAACCTCTAAAGATGACACAGCTACCAAACGCCCCCTGGAAAGAACTTGCGATGGACTTTCTTGGACCACTCCCTTCAGGAGAGTACCTCATGGTCGTCATAGACGAGTACAGCCGTTTCCCAGAAGTTTAATTGTTTTGATGATGGTTTGACAGTGAAAACTGGCAATTGGTAAAATATTTAAGGAAAGCAGGAGCCTTAACTGGAATTTTCAGATTGGCAGGGCTAACCATTGGAAAAGGGGGAGGAGGCAAAGGGGCAGAGGGGAATATGGACTGGAATAACAGATGTCAAACAAGTCTAGAAACCTATCAATGATCATCTCTATTTATATTTACTACATACTATATTTACTACATAGTGAATTGAAATCCCATTTCATATGTAGCAACTGTAAACTGTATGTGGTGTCAATGTTGGCCCTTTCTTTTCATAGAATTCGTCTATACAAGTCCGCAAACCGAGGAAGCAGAATAGAAAAAGTATACAAAGGCATACCAGATGTCAAGGAACTTTTTAGAATTTATGGCAGGGGGAGGGCTAATTCCAGGCGAATATATATGGTTTTGCATCGCCCAAGAAATGGAGGTTTGTGTAATCTTTCATAAGCAATAAGGGGTTTGTGTTGTTGCAGTCAGCTCATAAATGTCCTTGGCCACAAGCAAAAAAAATTGTTGACATTGTGACTTGACTCAGCACAAAAAGATTGCAATGAGTGCATACACATTTATCATGGGTAAAGATAGTAAAGGCCATCTTTGCCAAAGCTTCCAGATAACTGTGCTGCAAAGGCTGTTTTATAGCAAATTTGCATGTTGACATGGATATAAGTGCAGTGGAGTAAAATATATGGCCACAGCACCAAAAAATATCTGTTAGAATTTCAATTACACACTTATACAAAAAAAGTGGAACATGTACATTTTGGAAATAATAGCCTCCTGAAAGTGGGAATGCATTTTCACTACACTTAAAAAAAGAAAATATTCTTTGGCAGACATATGCAACAACATAACCCAATTATTCTGCTGAGAAATTTAAATCTTGATATTATGACTTTTAAATATTCATCCTTTTTTATTTTTATTACCATGGATTGCACTACAAGTTTAAGAAGGTTCTTTGCCTTTCAAAATTTTCAATATTTATGTCATAGATTTATCAAAGGAAAACTTGCAATAAGCTCATATTTCCACTATTTCACTAATAATTCAAAACACTAATTAAAAATTATTTGTTTCCTTTTTTATCTCAGGATCTAACACTAACCCTCAGTCTATACCAACACCAGGAGTAAGCAATCCCAACCATCCTTCTCCATCTCTTCAAACAAATCCTAATTTTGATGTTGCTTCCCTCCATCCCTCAACAAGCCAATCCCAACTCTCCCCTCCTCCTGCTCAGCCCAATTCCAACCCACCCTCCACAAACCAATCCCAACCTTCCCTTCCCCCTGTTCAGCCTGATTCCAACCCACCCTCCACAAACCAATCCCAACCCTCTCTCCCCTCTGCTCAGCCCAATTCCAACCCACCCTCCACAAACCATTTCCAACCCTCCCTTTTCCCTGCTCAACCTAATTCCAACCCTCCCTTGCTTTCTCAACAATCTACCAGTCACCAAAATCCCAGCCAATCTCAAACAAGTGTGACCAATTCAGTCATCCAGCCAGAGACTTCCAGTGGTGCAACAAGTGCGGCAAGTGGTGTTGTTGGTCTGGTGGACTTGACATTGCCTACAAGTGAATGTAAGTGCTTAATTGATTGGCACATTAGTTATTAAGTTTATTAATGATTTATATTTTAATCCTGTATTTGCATCTTGTGTGGAAGCAGTTGACCCATCTGCCGTAGATAATTATCATGTGATACACCTGAAACTGTGTTGTGTTGTTTTTTGAACAGATGGTGTCATCGCTTTAGATGATGTCAATGACAATGAACTCGACAGAAGCTATTTAGCTAGTAACCCAGTAAATGTTGACTCAGGTAATATGATGATGACTGATTAAAGAACATTTAAATGCTTTTTTTTTTGCAGACCCCAACCCCAATCCTGATTTGGATTAATCCCTAGGGTGGCAATGGATATTTTCTGAAAACTGCATGTATATTATGCTAGAAATCTATTTTATTACTGCAAGTAGTTTACATGGATGATTTCCGATTGTATCATAAATTACCATTTAAGAGGCAACTTAATTGTGCACCCTAGGCCAAGCCAAGTTTACACATGAGGTGTGAAGTAAATCAACCAAATTTATGTGAGAAATGAAAGAAATTAATTTTTAAAAAAAGACAAAATTTTTACTCCATGATTTTTTTTCCCTTTCAACATAGCATGTCATTTAACTGGCATACATCAGTGGCAAAAAGGTACGTTTCTATAAACGGATTATAAAACACATACACTTTGAAAAACAAATGTTGAATTAACTTCAACATAATTTTAATTACTTAATGTGTTAATTAAAATTCAAGAGATGAACAACTGTGTCTCATGTAAATGGAGAATAGAACATTCTACTATGCTACAGTATGGTGTGATATAGACTGACAGATTGACTCACTCATTCAGTTTCATGGCATAAAGGAATGCACAATAACTAATGTCTTGATATTCACTTAATTTTATGCCACTTCATTTCAGCTGGGATTGTAAAAGAAGACAAAAGTTCTTTGGGAATTCTCAATCAGAATGCTCAAGGTATGTTGGAAATATTGTCAATAATTCAATGCACTTTAATGCACGGCTCTCCCTGGATGATGACAATAGAAAAATTTCCACTAGATACAAAATAATATCTTGCCAAAAGCAGCATTCTAGCTTAAAATGCATGACTGAGGCTTCCTTATATCTTATGTTGCTATCTGTTTCATATTTTCAGCTAAATATATTTTGAAAAAGCTTTTATTAATCCCCAGTTCACATTTCACTGTAGACTATAAGCACTGGTAGATTAACTGTTTAAGTACAGACAAAACAGGAATTCAAATCCAAAACTACAATTTTTTTGCCCTTCATTAGGTAAAAGGAAAAACAAAACAAAACCAATATAACCGGTGATTATCTTTTAATGAGTAACATGTGCAATTGCATTTTACTATTAGTGAAAAGAAAAAAGGAGAAATAGATACCTTTACTTTCATTCACACACTCTTGGCATTAGTTGGCCATAAGCAAACTACAACAAAAGTTAAAAAAAAAAAAAAAAGCTGGGGGGAAGATTCTGGCACAAACATCCTTAATGGATGACAGTTCAATTGAATACCATTACTGTTTGTAAACCACACTCATAATAATTTTGTAGTGCCATTGAATGATATGGACAGAACACAGGAAGTGCTTTCCTGTGAACATGTGCTCATGGAGGCAGCATCAACCCACGAGGACATTCTTCTGCCAATCTTTTTGACCTTGACATATGAGGAGGTTTGTGTTAACTCTTTAACTCTGAGACCAAATTTGTAATTCTCCTTACTGTCAACCATACAATCCTTGTCATGTTATTTCAGGGAATTTAGTATTGGATCAACTAATTATTCCCAAATTGATATTTTTCTTTATTCTCATCACTTATCTGGTTGATGCTGTGTTGATATTGTAAGGATAAATTCTGTCTAGGTCACTCATGGGAGTTAAAGGGTGTCATGGCAGTCAATTTAGTTCCTGTTATATGTTTGCCCATATAGCTTGCAATTTTTAGGTAAAATGTTTATAGTAAATACAGTTAGCATACCCATGTGTCAATGTGTTAAATTACTGACAAGTAACATGTATTGACAATCACATTTGAAAAAAAAAATTAGCCTGTAAACTTTTGTGAATCTAAATTGGTCATTATGTTGGAACAGACCCTTTTGGAAAAATATACTTAAGTTACTGTTTTGCTTAATATGATCAACTTTCATTTCTCTATCTGACATATAATCCTATTCTATGCATTATTACAATGCACTGTGTCATGCTATTATACAAAAGAAATGACATGTCAATGTAAAATTTGACATGTTAAGGCTATATGTTAAATTTTATTCTACTTTAATCTATAAAATTTGTGCATCTAGATGTGTCACCAGGCCAGGTCCGACAGGAGGAGCATGGTCATAGTGATCCTCAAAGGTGACAACATACCTGATGTGATAAGGTGACTATCAATGATTCTTAAGGTTATTTTTATTACTAAAAGCACGCTGCACTCTACTAAAACAGCCTTTTTTCTTACACCGAGTCACCATGACAAATATGTACATCAATATTCTAGTTAATATGCTGTAGATCACACTCAACAGATATCTTTTCCTCATTAAGATACACATGGCATGAACAGTGGCTTAAAATTTCATGTGGATATTGCTTAAAATCACATGGGTGACATCAGTGGTGGTCATGGCGACCTAGTGCAATGTATGCCCACATGACAATTTTTTAAGAATGAAAGTGGCCCCAACTGACTGGTGTCTATGTTTACAATCATACATTATGTTAAAATTCAAAGCACAAAGATCATTCAATAAACATCACAGAGGTATTCAATATTTTTCCATATCCATTGTGCAATGCACACATGCTGTATTTCACATTATGTAGTGATTAAATTATTAATCAAAGATGTTTCTCCCTTTATCAAATCATCAGGATTCTGAATATTCTACGCAGAAGTAATGGAAACACATACTTTTGGATAACAAAAGAAAACTCAAAATCTGGGAGAGAAGGTATTGAATAACTGTCCACACTTTAGTTTTTTTGGAGATAAAAGACAACAAAAGGTCAAAGTTTAAAAACTTCCCTAAAATTTAACCAGCTAAACATTAATATTTTAGTAGAATATTTCCATTTTATTGTGATATTGTGTAATGTGAAGAGTGTGTGCATAGATATGTTTCTTCATTATTAAAGGACTTTGATAGGGTTGATCTCCTGTTCCCTTGCAGGATGTATTTCAAATAAATTGTTTCACTTTCTGCAGAAATGAGCCAACCAGTATTTCCTGTTGTTTCATTGTCTCTGTTGTGTTTCATTATGCTATGTTTGGTACCCCATGACAACCTTCATACTCCAATAATAGATGCAATAATGACCATAATTATCAATGTTCTCAAACTCTTCTTACCATTTTATGTGTGTTT